GTGTGTGTGTGTGTGTGTGTGTGTGTGTGTGTGTGTGTGTGTGTGTGTGTGTGTGTGTGTGTGTGTGTGTGTGTGTGTGTGTGTGTGTGTGTGTGTGTGTGTGTGTGTGTGTGCTGCAGGCAGGCGGTGCATGTTGAGGCCTCCATGGTGCACAGGTGGATGTTGGGCAGCTTTCACCGTGGAGCTGCAGACTGGAGGCCGCTGGGTGTGACTCGGGAGGACAGAGCCTGCAGGAGAGACGCAACAACATCACTGATCACATGGACCAAATGTTTTAATAACACAAAAGGCATCAACGCCATGTGTTAGTAGTTCAACCGTGTGTGTTGGAGCTACACATTGAATTAGGTTTTTTTAGTAATCAAACACAAGTTTTCTAGCAGCTTTTTGTTCATATCAAATTAATCATTATTTATCCTAGTTATTTCAGTTCAAGTAATTATGTATGCTTTTATTTTGAAGGCGGTGTTGGGAACCTGATTATGTATTAGACACAGGTGGTGGTGGGACTGGCGCCCCAGCATATGTTTTCTACCAGGGGAAACATAGGAAAGGCCACAGGGTAAACCATTGTGTTGTATGATTGGGATGAACCTAAATAAATGCACAGAGGATATTCTTGCCTGGACATTGAACATCTCTCGAGTAAGATTGGCTTCCTGGTGCCGCAGCTGCAACTCATTTTGAGTCCTTTTTTGTTGTATTTCTTTAGTTCGCCGCTACAGTATGTGGACAGATTAAAGCTTGTTAGAATTTGACCGGATGTTACACTGTTTGACCTCCAGGGGGAGCACTTTGTCTTCAAGAACATGGGACCTAATGAAGACAAAAAAACACATCCATGCAGGATGGAAAAAAACAACTCCCAGAAAAAATTCGTAATTGTTCTCACTGCTGCTGCTGCTCGGTGCAAAAACGTCTGCACATACTCTTTGTTCTCTTGTTATATACGTTTCCTTTTTTGTCCATTTGCTAAACAATTCATCACAGATGATCAGTTTTACATGGAAAGTCTAGTGAAGCTAAAAGGTCGTTTACTACACTAAAGTATCCAGCTGGAACCAATAACAGTGTGTGTTCTTCTCCAGCCTCACTCAGAAAGGCAGCCTTGACAGTAGTTGATCAATATGAGGGGCAGCTACTGAAATCCATATTGATTCGGAATACACCAATGCTACCACTGCAGGACTGAAAAATGGCTTTCAACTCCAATGCGCTAACAAAGTTTGGTATGTCAGAACAATTGAGGTTTTCCTACGTTGCTTAACCAAGCACTGTGTGTGTGTTACCTGTGAGGACATGCGGGACGCGTCCTGGCGCCCCGTCAGGTCTGAGGAGGAGATGTTGACTGGTGCTCCGCGATGAAGACGCATGCTCACCTTCCTCTCCTTCTCTAAACCTGAGACACAACGACAAGTCAAATAAATACGATGATGGAAAGGCCCCCTCAAACTCAAAGTTACTGGAAGATGAGCTGTCATTCCTTTGGTTTAAAGAGTGTGTGTACTGACCTGTGTGTGAGGCGGGGTTGAGTGGGGAGGGGGCTGCGGCCTCCTGTGTTGCCCTGGCTCTGCTTGAGGCCGAGGCCATGCCCCGGGCCCCCGGGTTCCTGCTGTGCCTCAGACGCTCTTCCCGCTCCCGCCGCTCCCTCTCTGCATCCTCCACCGCCCGGTTGGCCCCCTAACACACACACAGTCGTTAACATGAATAGCCTCTTTCCGAATCCAACAACTTGGTGAAAACTGAATTCGGCACTTGCCCAAACACGGTGACAATGGTACTTGTATTCTGAGCTCTGAATAAAAATGAAATGGTCCAGGCCTGTCACATGATCACATGTTTCCATGCATGGTACAACTCTACACAACTCTTTATCGGTTTTCCATTTGCAAAAGTTGTGGATAGTATCTTGAACTCATTTTATTACCATGTCGGCACTAGAAGGTGGAGTTAAAACCCTCCAGACCACTGATTGGTCCGAGAAGAACATCCCCAACCCGACAATTGACTGCGTGCGTTTATGTGTATATGTCGTGTTGAAACGAGTGTCCTAAAAGCTGTTAGTATCATTATCTTCCCTTTGAATGCATCTGTGTTTATTATATCTTTCATGTGTTAAACCAATGTTTAGACGGATGAAATAAATGTGTTGGGACAGTTTTGTATTTAGGGTTGGAGTCGTATGTTCTATTCTTAGCTTGTAAATGTTTCTGTATAATACAAGTAAAATATATAGTAAATACTTTGTTTAGTGTCCGGGAGCCTATTCTAAAACGTTGTTCATTGGGGTGTCCCATTTCACATATCTCCATTCTGTTTCATGTTGCACTTGTTTTTTTAATAAATACTCTTTATTGAGTTTCACACATTTCACACAAAACACAGCATTTGTATTTTTAAACATTTTGTGAAGTAAATTCATCAGATAGAATTTCTAGCAGCATTTCTTTCGTAATGTGCCGTTTGTCCCGCCTACACTGATGTGTTCTATCCACAGGGGAAACCAAATAGAAAAAAGGTAGCAGCTAGCAACAGAATGGTATGAAGTAAAGCCGTACCATGGTCAGGATAACACTCATGTTACTATCTAGTTTACAAGGTACTTTGCCTTCAAGGCTTAATGTAAATGAACCTAGGCTCAATAATAACAATAATGCAACTAAATACAGCTTCATTACTGAGTGAAGTGAATCTGCTTAGCAACTTACAAATTTGAGCATGTTCCAGTCGAAGACGTAGTCGTAGGAGAAGCCTTGTCGGTGGAACAGGTTCCTGAACAGCTGGCGGAGGTACGAGTAGTCGGGCTTGTCGTCGAAACGCAACGAGCGGCAAAAGTTCAGGTAGGTGGCGAACTCCGCTGTGGGGGGGAAAGGAGAAATGAGGGATTGGATCAACTTCCGAACATTATCGGTTTTCCTGTACGTTATTGCTTTACAGGAAAGAGAACAGAGCAGGGGTGTCAAACATACAGCCCGCGGGGCAAATGCAATTACAATGTGCAATATAATGTGAGTCAGCAGCTTCAGTACAAAAGAGTTTGGTGGAACCCTATTGTTCCTGCACTGCATTTTGTATGTATACATGTTATACATTTACAAGGCAGGGGGGTAGATGAACCTGATTCCTGAATAGCTCCCACTTTAGTTTGCGTGGTGGTGTGTCAGGATTACTACACAGATGTGGAAATTCATGTAAAAGAACTTCTAGATCTGGACCAGTTGTTTTGATCATAAAGTAAATAACTATATTGTTTAGTTCCAGATACCGGTGACTACATGTTTTTGTAGATACACTGTGATCTGTAAGTTAGACCCTCCAGAAAAACGCGGGCAAAAATCCTTGATTATGCGGACTAAAATCCTTGATTATGCGATTAAACATGCAGGGTTTTTATGTGATTTTATGCGGTGAAATTGCGAAATATGCGGAGAGTTGCGAAAAATAATAGATTTTTTTTAAAATATTGGGCCCCCCCTTTGGAGAAAAAAAAAAGTCGGGCCCCCCCAACGCAAATAGTCAGGCTCTTTTGCGGCGCCAGAGATTTATTTTGGGGGTGCTGTGGGGTAGCTTGACGTTTCATAGAGGGTGCTCAAACATTTAGGGTTTCCCATTAATGTACCGGGCGCTACAGTGGAATTCTCTACTGCAACACTCCCCACGCGTTTTTAATTTATTCTCTTATTTTTTTATAACTATAATGATCGGAAATAATTAATAATTGTTTAAATTAATGGTGACCAAAACGTTTGAGACCCACTGAGAGAAGCTAACAACAACGATCTCTGGTACCGGTTCTCTCGCTCTCGCTCTCTCTTGCTCTCTCTCGCTCTCTCTCGCTCTCTCTCGCTCTCTCTCTCTCTCGCACACAAAATGGCTCGTTCCACACAATCACAGAGCCGAGCTTTAATGAAACACAGAGACCCAGACGTAATAGAACTGTACTGCATCATATTATTTTCA